CCACAGAAAATCTGTGAATAATTTATATCTTTAAACTATTTTGTAGAAAATTTAAGAGAAATTGATGAGATTATGAAGGTCACTTTTGGTAAGAGATATGTTTTTAAAGTCTCCGCTCTGCCCCATAGTGAAAGGGGTAAAATTGTCCATCATTTAAGGTCTTCTCTTATTGTTTTAGTAACATCATTTATATTCAAGTCCACCATAGTTTCTAAAGGAAACTTTATTTTAATTCCAATGTATGTCATACCTTCAGGTTTCCACTGAAAAAACTGCAGTTCCAAGGTTTGATTGGAAAACTTGTATCCTGATATATAGCTAAAGGCTTCAATTAATTAAATTAAGTGAAATAGTTTTGGGATAAATTTTTCTAAATTTGTTATGGTTAGTAAAATATCATTAGCAAATTGGTTCAACTTAAATTCATGTTTGGCGACACTAATTCGTTTAATATCTTTTTCTATCCGAATCAGACTAGCCAAGGGTTCCAATGCCAGGATAAAAACCCTTGACATGTGGACCGATATAGGTGCATGGGTTCAGATAGCAGTTGTGTATTTTTTGCCACTCTCACCCGAACAGCCATCTAAACAACATTTAGGAAGTACAATATTTGTTATATTATATGTCTTCAAAAAAAGATTTCCCATTCGAGTGAACTTTAAATATGCCTCCTTTCAGGCTGAGGTTCTGCAGCACTATGAGCCCAAATAAAGAGTTCTGTTAACTATTTGGATATACTGGATGACTGGGTCAGTCAAAGGGTCAACATCAGGGACCCTCATGCTCAAATTGCTGGAGAGCATGACATATAATTTTCAAACATTGATTAGCCACCAAACACTCCCAACCATAACTTCTTTGAGAAACTCTGTGATATGCTGGAGAAGGTCAGATCAGCTGCATGGCCGTCATACCTCCTACTAAGGCTCTTTCTAGGTGGAAATAAATGTGTGATAGAAGCTTATTAAAACAGTGTCCCAACAAATATATTTGTCAAAGCTAAAACTGCTATAGCTGCAGGAGTTGTTGCTCATACCTCAACCCTAGTTTCACTGCACATACAATCAGAAAAACACGCATTTATTTTGTTTTTGCAATGTAATCAAAATTGTTTGTGGTCATTTAAATTAAGTTTAACTCAAATCTGTTTTATCAACAGCGCTTCACAACATGTGTTATCTTAAGTTGATTTCCAGTTACTTCAATCAGAACATAAAGACAGATTGGTTAAGAGTTGTCTGTCTAAGGAAAACTACCAGACTGCATGACTTCCAGGATTTCCTCCTCCTGGTTGAGAATGTAGAAACAGCTGTCAGTTGCTTGGATTATGTCGCAATCCCTCATGGTGAGCATGCACGTAGTGACAGTGGAGAGGAAAACTCCCCTTTAGCATGTACTAAGGAGAACAGAGAAGCAGCTTTCTGTTTCAACCAGAGGTGGGGAGTAACTAGTTACATTTATTGTAGTGATTTTTACAACACTGTACTTTTGCTGCAACAAGGTTATGGATTTGATTCCTTGCCCAGACTCTTTCTACATGGAGTTTCCATGTTCTCCCTGCACATGCATAGGTTCTCTCTGGGTACTCCCCGTTTCTCCCACAGTCCAAAAACATGTCTGTTAGGTTTTAGCATCTCTAAATTTACCTTAGCGCACGCCTTGCCAATTTAGCCACGTACAAGAATCTTCTAAAAACTGGCATACGCTGAACTTTCTATGTACTTTTTTCAATTTTGGGTATATACATAGAGTATTCATAACGAGTCCAGAACTTATATCCAACGAAATCCTAACTTATGAATGACGCACAGCAACGTAATGCCCTTGAGATGATGCACAAGCCAGTGTCCTGAGGGGGCAGCGATGCACCCGGAAGTGCCTGGCCTGCATAAAAAGATTTATTTGATTTGATTTGTATTAACCTAGCTGCTGTTTACTGCCCGTCAAAAAAAAAAAAAAAAAAGAAAGAAGGAAGGTTTGCAGTTGCAGCAGATTGAGCATCATGTCTGCTAGGAAGTTTGTTGGTCATGGGCGTGAATGCAGAGAGGATCCATTACACACACTTTCACGCTCACCGTATGATGGGGATGAAGTCTGTAGGAAAACTGACAGTTTCCTCCTGTGAATGCCCTTTCATACCAACATGCTGCCAATATGCCATTACACAGTAACTGTACATTGGAAACACATTCAGTGGTCGTCTGGAACACGTCAAATAGGTTGATATGCATTAGAGATAAGTTCTTGATAAGTTACGCACAAGTTACGCATAGGTTTTGGATAAGCTAGACACCACGACTTATCAGTAACTTACAGTTAACGTGTGTCAGAGATCAGATAACTTACCTGTTACTTATGCCCCACGTATGAGCATTCGTTGGCATATGTTGAGAAAATTTCTCGACATACTCACACGTTACAGCGTATTTCAGCATGCTCATAACTTATACAAAATGGAACCATAGCTTATCCAACATATGCCAGCGTTTTTTCCAGGTTTTCCGTAGGTCAGGCATACGCTGGCTACATCATTAAGGTGTTACCGGGCCTTTAGGTGTGAGCGTGTGTGCATGGTTGCATGTCTTTGTGTGTCTCTTCGTTGCCCTGCAACAAACTGCTGACTTGTCCAGGGTGAACCCCACCTCTCGCCCATAGACTGCAAGAGAAAGGCACCAGCCCCACAGTGACCCTGACAGCACTGAGTGGGAGAAAACAGATGGATGGATATTTATTGAAACCTTATTTTCTCTAAAGATGACGTCTCCTGGAGTCCATAACAAAATGCTGTTCACTCCCTCTCTGTTACAAATTACTGAGGCAGTATGCTTCGATTGGATCTCCTAAGGTGGATTGTTATCTTTGTTATGTACTCATGGTCGACCAGGAGGACCCTCCACAAGCACCAATGGATCTTGTCTGGGTTAGCTTCAGTGGTGCTCACAACAAATTTTGGAATCAACTCCTAATAAAATTAAAAGCTAATTGAAGATCATTGATCGTTGATTTTTGCCTAAAAATGTTTACATTCTGGGTGTGGTGGACAAAAGTGATACCAAAATTATCCCAAGTCAATGTGCTTTGGTTATATATTGTTAAACCAGAGGGATAAACCAACTGCTAGTCACATGTGAATGAGATCATATTGAGCTTTAACTGGTAAGACTTTTTGCAGTTCAGCCTAAAACTTTAATCTGCATGAACCTTCACTGTTACAGTTTATTGTTTTTGTTAGATATATAAGATTTTCCAGTCCATCCAAAGCATCCTATTTTCATGTTTAGAGTTACAGCTTGACTGGACTTCCTGTCAAAATTTTCTTTCAGTGGGATATTATAAAATGTTACATATCAATGTTACAGATCTGAGAAGACTTGCTGAGAAGACCTCATGTGTTCTTAAACAGATTAGCAGTAAGTCACCAAGATGTTTTCAGAGTTTAACAGTTCTTTTTTTTCCCACCATCTCCCTTAAAATCCAGTTTGGGTCTCTGTCCTCTCCTGCTCCTTCCAAACAACAATTCATTCTGGATCCATTCAGTCTCCCCATTATCCTCCCAACGCTGTGACTGGAAGGCCGTTATTATTTTCACAGAAGGATTTAAAGTAATCCTGACAGTTGCTCAGCTACAGGAGGTGTTTTCTCACCGAGACCCATGGCTGAAATTGCTGCCACGCTGCAGATGCTGGATGGCATCCTCTGAAAAGATGAGGCGGGTGTGATTCTCTATGTGTGTGTGTGCAACTGAGCAGGCTCAATAGAGAGATTAGCAAATTAATTGAGTTATTTAGGCAAGACAAAAGATGTGGCATGCCTATTGTGCTACATGGAATGGTTTAAATTAGATAATTTAAAGCTCAGGTGATTTAGCTGTGCTGTCAAGGTTCTTTGCTCTGTCACGCCAGTCAGTTGCACAAAACCGTGCAAAGATATATAAGATATTCATCCCTTGAACTTCATGTTTTCCGTTGATACAATTAAATGTCAGATAGTTTTCGTGACTTTATGAGACAGATCAACCTAAATTAGCACATACAGTAAGCTGACCCTATGAACTTGGCTGATATAGATGAGTGGAGAGAAGAAATTTAAAAGAAGAGCTGATTAAAGTAGGGGGCACAGTAAAGATCTGACCTTTTTGACTCACACTTAAAACCTTTATTGTTTGATTTGACCATCCTCGCTGAGAGTGGATGCTTCTCTTTACACACAGTGAAGATGAATGATAGGCGATGGATGGAGCTTATAATACGGGGTAAAAAGAAAGGGAAAAAAACCTGTTGTGGTCTGCAAAGGGCTTGAAACTGGAGCTGAATTTCCCATTTCAGCTGAACAATGACCGTAAACATACAGCCAGAGCTATAATGGAAGGATTCAACCCTGGACCACACCTTTCAGTCCACATACAAATCTGTTGCAAGACCTCAACATTCCTCTTCACAACTGAAAAGCATCCAATTTTTTTAAATTTGGATAATTTTATAAAAATAAAATTTATTTTGCTTCTCCAACATGTCCTGATGCATGTTGGTCTGTAACATTAAACCTAACATTAAAAGGCTGGGTTTTAATGTTAAGATGGATAGTATTGTGACAGACTGTAACAGACTGGTATTGTATTTTTAATTGTTTAAGTCTAATTTGGCCAATAATCTTTATTGATTGGCGCCCACACAAATATCTGTTAAAACAAGTTTGCTTTACACAGAACACCATGTAAAACTATATAATTAATCTGCAAACATGCATCAGTATAATAAACAGAAGTGGTTTTATTTCCTGCATTAAATTTCCATCATGCCTCAGGTTCCCCTCAGTGCTGTAGCCTAGGCTTGGATGGGGATTCAGACATTACACGGATTATCAGCTGTGGGAGGCGAAGAGGGAGGTGCGAACCATGATTTTAATTTTGAAAAAAAAGATTCCACAGGTAATCGGATTAGAAGGAGTTTGCTTGAGACTTTTAACGGCTTTTCTGTCATCTTCCTCAGCAGATATCCTGCGCAGAGCGTCGGATCTCCAAAACCAGGTTTACCAGAGAGAAGCCGCGCATAAGGAGCTGCAATGCCTGCTGATCTGAGCGGATACTGGGAAATGGTTTCCAATAGAAACTTTGAGGAGTACATGAAGGCTCTTGGTGAGTTCAGTGCTCTTAATTGGATCGCTTCTGTTTAAGTAGATCATTATCATCAAGTCCTATAAATAAGTTTTTTCCTTCCTAAAGTGCAACCCACTATTCACTCTAATTCATGGTTGCATTCTTTGCAGATGTAAATGTTGCCATCAGAAAAATCGCCCTTCTGCTGAAACCAGCCAAGGACATCGTTCATGACGGGGACCACATGATCATCAAGACCCTCACTACATTTAAGAACTACAACATGGACTTCTCTCTGGGTAAGGAGTTCGAGGAGGATCTCTCAGGAGTCGATGGCAGGAAATGCATGGTGAGTGGATTTGTATGCAGCGCAGTGCGTCTTTGCTTTAGGAGCGGAGGCCTGTGGCGCGCAACCACCTGGGTGCAGAAAATCTGTGGGTTGATTTAGCAGGAGACCCCATCCAGACTGCACTTTAATGAGCAGATGGTGCAGTGAGAGCTGGTCATTTTTTACTCTGTTTTTTTCCCCCCCACCAACTCCAAAACTTTCTTCTCTTCAGACTTTTTAGCAGTCTTTCCTGCGACTGGAAGTAATGAAGACCAATGGCAGGCGCTGCAGGGGAAGCACTGGGAAGGGAAACCTCAATGTCAGGACTCACTGGACTGCGTTTCTGAATGCTGAATAGGATCAGGGATTAACTGTAATCTAATTGACAAGGTTCTTTTTTTTCACTTATAGGCTCTGAACTATTAGGAAGGTGTTTAAGAGAAAGAATAATAGGGAAATGGGGGCATTTGGGATCTGTGTTTTAATTAATGCAAAACGCATAACTACGCATAAAATTTATCTTTTATTTATTTCTTAAATGCGTTTCTTTTCATATAAAACTAAAAAAGAAGTAATTTGAATTAGATTAGCTTTTAACCCTTTATAGGGCGAGTTATTGTTTTTGATCACTTGCATATCCATCCCTCAGTGAGGTCTAGAAGCACAACATCTATATCCAGTCATTTAGCACTGCTTCATGGCTGCACATCTTATGTTGGAATTTGACCAATTAGATGAAACCTTTGAATGATATATTACCTACTGTAAATTAAGTTGGGAAAAAAACTTAACAGGTCAGGAAAAAAAAGGTAAAAAGAATTGAAAAACTAAAAATTAAAGTGAATAAGCCTATATTTAACAAATATATTTAGGTTTATAAACTAAAAAGTGCCAGTATCAGCATTAATGCCTTTAAGGTAATGTTGTACCCCAAAAAAAGTGTTTCTTTCACTCTGAGTGTTTTTCATTAATTTCTTATAGAAGCATTTTTTTTTCTTAATATATTCAGGCAAGTTGGTGTTTCCCATCCAAATAACAATTTTTTTTTATGTTACAAAGGTAATAAGCACTTTTCCTGGATTACAAGAAACATTACAGTAACACTATTGGCTTGAAATTTTGATTTTTAATGTGTTTCACTGAGTGCCCAAAAGGGGTTAAGTTTATGCAATTCTTAGATCTTCTTTCACACCACTATTTTAACTGGTTTTCTGTTGTTTCTTTTTTCTTTTTTTGCATATGTAAACATGTGAACTATTCTTTTTTTATTCATTTAAGAAATTATCGAATGTATTAATCTATCTTTTTTTAATGTTTAATAAGTTATTAAAAAAGGTTTTCTTTTTCATTTTAAATCACACATACACACATTTGTGGCACTCTGCAGACAACCATCAACTGGGAGGGAGACAAACTGGTGTGTGTTCAGAAAGGAGAGGTGGAAGGAAGAGGCTGGACCCACTGGGTGCAGGGGGATGAGCTTCATCTGGTGAGAACACAGCAGCTCCTGGCATGAATATTAATCTAAGCAATTTAGACACTTTAATCCAGATCCAGAATGGCTCTCGGCACAGTATGTGAAAGGCATACATCTCTCCATGTGTGACTCCAGTTTAAATTGGCCTGTGCAGATGCAAGGGCATTCACTTCTGAAAAATATCTGACTTAGTCTGATTTAAGATGACACAAGTTGAATTATGTATGCTCAAGACATTGTTAATATTCTGGTGCCTTTGTGTAGTTTTTAAATGATCAATTTAAATTAATAACAAGTAATGACAAGCGCATTACCATTTTTACAAGCTCAATAATATCAGATTTTCTCCAGCGTGGATACTGTTTTCAAAGCAGAGTTAAATTAATCTCCCAAATTATTCGGTTAAAGTGATGCCAACAGATGTTTTCAATCAGCAGCCATGAAATTGGACATTAGAGGATTTCTTCCAATGATTGGAAAAAGGACGATTCAAGGACAACAGTGACATCTGCTGGTATAAAATATATTGCATGCTACAAAAATAACTTACAGGCACATAAAATTAATTTCTTTCTTTCTTTATGTATTTATTTATTTAATCATTCGTTTATTTATTCATTTATTTATTTATTAATATAAATTCAAATGTAACAAAAAGGTGTGGTATGTTACAGTCTGTCACAATATATATATTCCACTGATGTGTCATGGATCAAAGCTTCAAGAAATTCCTTGATTGTCCATGTGGAAAAAGAGATAAGGCAAATGAGAGTATGCAGGCATGCATTAAGGTTAAAATATAGGTAGAAAATAAACTTTTCTGGCCTAATAAAATTTTTTACCAATTGTTTAATTTCACTGGTCAAATTCTATGCAGATTGCATTATCTCTTTTTTGTCATTTTCATTTATAATTTGTTGACAAACAAATTAAAAGCAATAGTGGAGGGCCTAAAGAGGAAGAACAGTTATCTAGAAAAATAATGCTTAATCTTGAAATGTCATCTTTCTTAACTTTTTGTTTAGTTCATTTGGATGCATACTTGGACTTACTGTGATTTTGGAAAACAAAACCAGTCTTTACACTAAAAGTGTTGTCTCTTAATGCCAGTGTGTCCTGAAACTTCTGCTCATCACGATCGAATGATTCATTTTAGCCCCTCTGCAAAGTTTAAGGAAAGGAAAAAGTGGAAAAATTGATTGCATTTCATATTAAAACAATTCGGTATCCTATATGTTGGGTGCTGAAATTGAATCAAATTTCATTAAAAAATAATATGTTTATGCTTGCACCAATTAATGAAAGAAATAATCTAACACTTTTAGTTTTTCTGTTTCATTTTACAGAAATACATTCTATCTTAGTATTTAATTATTTATCTTGGGCTTATATTTTTGAATTACAAAAATCCTATGAATTTAATTATTAATAATTAGTAATTCCCTTCAACCTGATATTGCAGAATAAAAAATTGTGTTTTGCAGGTAAATATGAAGATTTTTTTTCTTCTTTTTCTTTCTTCTGCAGGAGCTGAGAGCTAGAGGGGTTGTTTGCAAGCAGGTTTTCAAGAAAACCTAAACTGGCCTTTTTAAGCAGCACCGACTACTTGATCAGAATCTGACTGAGAGAGTAACAGCAGATCAACCTTACACTACAACCTCCAGCATGCTCAGATCCTCTTTATGAACATTGTTTTAATAACTCACTTTTGAATGCATTATGAATTGTTGCCTCTGTTATCAGGGGACATGGTAGGTAGACATGTGTGAATGAAACAGTGCTGTGTTATTGTCTCAGTACAGGTGTTTTGATGAGCAGATTTAGATAAACATGTGTCCTGTTGGTGTTAGATGAACTGATGTCTGACACAGTTAGTTTATGGAAACACTAAAGTAAGACGTTCTCTAAGAAAATGCTCTCGATATCAATTCATAATATTTTAGTTGAGCTTTATCATATCCTTTGGCAGTGTACATCTGATATTAAAAGGAATTGAGCAATGAATGAAGCAGTGCTTAACATTGTCATGTGTCCATTACTGTGTTTTAAAACCCTTTATCATGGTCCTTAATTTGCAGACGTTATGAGTCTCCATCCTGCAGGTTTTTGTAAGTGTTTCTGCCTCAGAAGAGATTATTTAACTTAAAGGTAATCACAAGTTTCTGCAGAATCTTGCACAAACAAAGGAGGATAACTCAGCCATTGTAGTAAAGTGTTTATTTAGACATACCTCTGGCTGGCTGCTTTATTAGCTCCTCACAATGTTTATTTATTGGAGTTGTTCTTTCTGAAGTAGCTGGGAATGGAAAGAGACAACAACGTTACAGCACTTCAGTACATGTTTTTTTTTTTTTTTTTTTTTATCTAGTAGGCAAATATCTTTAATGACACCATGGGAGTGTGGGAAATTAAATTTTTTTTCATGCTCTGGTTGTGTTTTCCACTGGGATCAATTACGATCAATTATCTTTGTTGGTTAAACTTTACAAAAACCCATCATAACCATTATTTATAAATGGTAAGAAGACCATTACTAACAACCAACAGATATTTAATATTTAATGGGTAAATAGACCATTTCCTAAAGTATTAAACCCACTGATGTTAGATATGTGTAGGTCCAACATGACGGGGGAAGTTAAATTAAAAATAAAAGCTATGTTCAGGTCTTAAGTGCACTGATGTTAGGGCTAAATTAACATGGCAGGCCAATGTGATCTATTTAATTTTCATAAATTATTTAGATGTAGTATATAAATTATTATCCATTAATTAATTCATAAATGTTCTCTTTACCATTTATAAATTATGGCTATTGAAAAGTGTTACGTCTTCCTTTTACATCATGCAAAAGGAGCTTTTTTTAAGATTTAGATTATCACTGGCTGGCAGGACTAGGAAAGCTTTGTGTTTCAAATTGGTATAGAATATCTAAAACTAATAAGCATCTGAGTGGGAAGTTGGTCCAAATAGCACAAGAAACGTTATGTCATTAACACTGAGAGCTTTGTATTTGCAGAAAAAGAAAGTGGATCATATTTACACTTAAGAATGAGCTACTGATGAATAAAACCAATATACAGGTGCTGGTCATAAAATTAGAATATCATGAAAAAGTAGATTGATTTCAGTAATTCCATTTAAAAAGTGAAACTTGTATATTATATTCATACATTACATACAAACTCATATATTTCAGATGTTTATTTTGTTTAATTTTGATGATTACAAATGACAACAAATGAAAATCTCAAATTCATCATATCAGAAAATTAGAATATTGTGAAAAGGTTCAAAATTGATGGCCCCTGGTGCCACACTCTAATCAGCTAATTAACTCAAACCACCTGCAAAAGCCTTTAAATGGTCTTTCAGTCTAGTTCTATAGGCTACACAATCATGGGGAAGACTGCTGACTTGACAGTTGTCCAAAAGACGACCATCGACACCTTGCACAAGGAGGGCAAGACACAAAAGGTCATCGCTAAAGAGGCTGGCTGTTCACAGAGCTCAGTGTCCAAGCACATTAATAGAGAGGCGAAGGGAAGGAAAAGATGTGGTCGAAAAAAGTGTACAAGCAAGAGAGATAACCGCACCCTGGAGAGGATTGTGAAACAAAACCCATTCAAAAATGTGGGGGAGATTCACAAAGAGTGGACTGCAGCTGGAGTGAGTGCTTCAAGAACCACCACACACAGACGTATGAAAGACATGGGTTTCTGCTGTCGCATTCCTTGTGTCAAGCCACTCTTGAACCACAGACAGCGTCAGAAGCGTCTTGCCTGGGCTAAAGAGAAACAGGACTGGACTGCTGGTGAGTGGTCCAAAGTCATGTTCTCTGATGAAAGTAAATTTTGCATTTCCTTTGGAAATCAAGGTCCCAGAGTCTGGAGGAAAAGAAGAGAGGCACTTCATCCACGTTGCTTGAAGTCCAGTGTAAAGTTTCCACAGTCAGTGATGGTTTGGGGTGCCATGTCATCTGCTGGTGTTGGTCCATTGTGTTTTCTGAGGTCCAGGGTCAACGCAGCCACATACCAGGAAGTTTTAGAGCACTTCATGCTTCCTGCAGCTGACCAACTTTTTGGAGATGCAGATTTCATTTTCCAACAGGACTTGGCACCTGCACACAGTGCCAAAGCTACCAGTACCTGGTTGAAGGACCATGGTATCCCTGTTCTTAATTGGCCAGCAAACTCTCCTGACCTTAACCCCATAGAAAATCTATGGGGTATTGTGAAGAAGAAGATGCAATACACCAGACCCAACAATTCAGAAGAGCTAAAAGCCACTATTAGAGCAACCTGGGCTATCATAACACCTGAGCAGTGCCACAGACTGATCGACTCCATGCCACGCCGCATTGCTGCAGTAATACAGGCCAAAGGAGGCCCAACTAAATACTGAGTGCTGTACATGCTCATACTTTTCATGTTCATACTTTTCAGTTGGCCAACATTTCTATAAATCCTTTGTTTTTATTGGTCTTCAGTAATATTCTAATTTTCTGATATGATGAATTTGAGATTTTCATTTGTTGTCATTTGTAATCATCAAAATTAAACAAAATAAACATCTGAAATATATGAGTTTGTATGTAATGTATGAATATAATATACAAGTTTCACTTTTTAAATGGAATTACTGAAATCAATCTACTTTTTCATGATATTCTAATTTTATGACCAGCACCTGTAGTATTGGTATAAAAAGGGTAATAAAAACAACTATTGCACTGCTCATTATGATAAAGTTCTTCAGTACCTTTTATTTTAGCTACACATGCCGATTAAGTAGGCAAAGCTCTGCCCACACTGTGTTCCTAACAAGTCAGCCTCTAAACTCGTGGTCTACTTTGCCAACATTCATTTCAGATGCTTACACACACACACACACACACACACACACACACACACACACACACACACATTTTTAGCTCCATTTGCTGCTCTGCCTCCTGTGGTTTAATGTGCTTTCTCTTAAAGCCAAGCTTCGACCTGTAGGTTCTATATATTTATGCTTACCAGTGGGAACATTGATTTCTCCTTCTGGAATATTTAGGGTAATAAAAATGGTATAGTTTGCACTGGCGTCAAAACAGAGTCTGATGCCACATGTAGATTTAAACTCTATAAAGCATTTTCTTTCTAAATTGGTAGGTTTTTTCGATTTAAAGGGAAAACATTCTCAGCCGTTTAACTTAAAATCATTTTCTGTTGCTGTTTTAAATTTCCTTTAAATTATTTGTTTTACTTGCTTTCCATCCATCCATCCATCCATCCATCCATCCATCCATCCATCCATCCATCCATCCATCCATTTTCTTACACGCTTGTCCCGAGTGGGGTCGTGAGGGGTGCTGGTGCCTATCTCCAGCAGTCAATGGGCGAGAGGCGGGGTGACATTTTTCTCTTCTGTCTTTATTTATTTATTTATTTATATATGAATTCCAGAAAAAGAAAGTTAAAAGCAATCCACTGGACCTTGTTTCCAAGTTTGTTTCATTTCCCATCCAGGAATCCCATCCCAATGTCAGGAATAGCGTTAAGTTCGAGGCTTTATACAGTGGCCCATCAAAACCTTGTTTTTGTTTTGAAAACATGCAAGCTGAAACAGACAAAGGGGTCCACCTCTTTGAAATGTGGGTCGTTTGGCTTATTTTGTGAGCCTTTAATGCCCCATACCTGACAAAGTCTTTGAATGGAGGGACCACTCTGGGTTCCTGTTCAAGACCCTTAACCCCACACTGCTCACTGGGTGCCACACAATGGCAGCCCATTGCTCCCCAAGAGAATGGATTAAACGCAGAGAGGGAATTTCCCCATCGTGGGACAATAAAAGGCCTTGATTACATAGCAAATGTATATACTTACAGACTATTTCTCTGTAATGATAATTATTTTATAAATATGAGATGTATCACTAGTGAATTATGGCAAATTGCAGCCAATAACATTCTTTCCTTATCTTCTCTTCTATTGCTGCAGCCACTTTGCCACTTTGGCATCTACATGTCACGTCACCAGTCTGAGAAACCAACTCTCGCGGGACGTTGTTTCAGGAAGTTCCACGTCAGTATCCAGTGCGCTGCTCACTGTTACCTCCGACCGAAGTGTTACCAACCTTTTTATTTATTCACATTGTGATAACACGGGGATAAAACATGGTAGGTTATTGTCTAAAGGCACATACATTTACCTTGTTTTAATATATTGAATCTAATATTTTCGGTTAATTTAAAAAATCGGGAGAGTAAATGTCAAATGGAAATAGTCTCTTGGAATTAGCTTAGCGGCTAACGAGCCTCAGTTTGTAGCCCATTTAAATATGTTTACCATTAAATGCTTTTTGATAATCAAATACTAAAGATTATTTGGTTGAGTTGGTTGCTTTTGTATTTCTATTATTTTGCTTCTTTTATCAGATGATGTATGTTCGATTGTTTGCATTGCTTAAAATCCTTGTCTTACAGTGTTAGCCGCTAACTGCTGTTCTTGTTATTACTACAGTCTTCTTGCCAAATAGATTGCTTGTTGCCCTCAGCCATATAGAGATTGTTCTCAGCGTAAAATAACATACTTTTGTCCTTCATCTTCACAGCCTCTGAGGCTGGACATTAAGCGGAGGCTAACAGCCAGGTCGGACCGTGTAAAGAGTGTTGATCTTCACCCAACCGAGCCATGGATGCTGGCCAGTCTTTACAACGGCAGCGTCTGCGTGTGGAACCATGAAACGCAGGTATGAAAATAATATAATTAAAGAAAGGATTTACAAAAACAATCCTTTAAGATTAATGGAATGATAATCATGGTTATATCAGTGGTGTGTATTAACAGATGCTTAAATAATTGCATAATTTCTAAGTTATTGTAATGAGCATCTGTGTTTTTAGACTCTGGTCAAGACCTTTGAAGTGTGTGACCTGCCTGTCAGAGCGTCCAAATTTGTAGCCAGGAAGAACTGGGTCATCACAGGAGCAGTAAGTAACATTTTCTTTCTTTCTGCTGCTCCCATACCAGTTTAAATGGACTACACTGTTTAGACTGTACAAATAATTGTATTCTCCCTCTCTGAACAGGATGACATGCAGATCCGTGTGTTTAACTATAACACCTTAGAACGGGTTCATATGTTTGAGGCCCACTCTGACTATATCCGTTGCATTGCTGTCCATCCAACCCAGCCGTACATCCTTACCAGCAGTGGTAGGCTATTAACCATGACAAACTAAAGGCTGCTTTGTTGTGTCTTTAGTTCAGACAAGCACTAATGTGGGTTTACTCCTATGCAGATGATATGTTGATCAAGCTGTGGGACTGGGACAAGAAGTGGTCGTGCAGCCAGGTGTTTGAGGGTCACACTCATTATGTGATGCAGATTGTCATCAATCCTAAGGACAACAATCAGTTTGCTAGCGCCTCTTTGGATAGAACAATTAAGGTAGGTGCTTTGCTGTCTGCAAATTGCCATTTCTACTGTCTCCAGCCATTTTTAAAATATCACCTTCTTGTTTTTTTAGTTTTTTTTTAATGCTGTATATTTCTTTCTCGATGACATGCATGACATATAGAAATGTACTAGTAATTTTGTTTATTTTTAATAGAAGTAGATATCCAAATAGTGTAACTCATAGGGGAAAATGTACAGCATTTCCCCATTTATGCATGGAGGGATATGTTCATAAACATATTTTTTTTATGTTTTTAACTTGAATCTGAAATGGCTGCACTTTTTGTTTGTATGTTTTAGAATTCTTAGTTATGGTATATTTACAGTTTACAGCAAAAATTATTGTACAGTATTTAAAGTACCAATTAGAACCTGATGTTTGATTGTGATTGGACCCGCCCAGATTTACCTGCATTACATTTTTCATTAAAGAAAACCTAGTAATGCTTTAGCACATTTTCGGCTTGCACAGGTGTGGCAGCTGGGTTCTTCCTCTCCCAATTTCACTTTGGAGGGTCATGAGAAGGGAGTGAACTGCATCGACTACTACAGCGGTGGAGACAAACCCTACTTGATTTCAGGGGCAGATGATCGCCAGGTCAAGATTTGGGACTACCAGGTATGATACCTTCAATCTTTGTTTATATTGATGCAGAACTTAAAATAAGCAAGACAGTTCTCACCACCTTTTTGAATAAAGAAAATGTTGGATCGTAATCTCAAGTTAAAGAGAGATTAACTTATTTTGCTTTAGAATATTTCCAAGTTTTTGAAATATTAAAAAAATGTTGCATTTAAAATAATATCCCCCCTTCTCATTATATCTACATACATATTTTAATTTTGTAGAATAAGACCTGCGTTCAGACTCTGGAGGGACATGCCCAGAATGTCTCCTGTGTCAGCTTCCACCCAGAGCTCCCCATAATTATCACAGGTTCTGAGGATGGTATGTCGAGAACCTTCATTTATCCCAATACACCAATAACCAAATTGTTGTTGTTGACTAATTAATGGTTGATCTATGGAACTTTTATTTTATTTTTCTTAAGGTACGGTGCGGATATGGCACTCAAGCACCTACCGCCTGGAAAGCACCCTGAACTACGGCATGGAGCGAGTGTGGTGTGTATGTGGTCTTAGAGGCTCTAACAATGTGGCACTGGGATATGACGAAGGAAGCATTATCATCAAAGTGAGTCCATGAGAAAACTTGTTTTAGCAAAGCTACATTTTGAACCACTGCATTTGTTTTGTTGAAGTAGGAATTGTAAAACAAACACTTGATTAAAAAAAAAAAAAAATTCTGCAGGTTGGACGGGAGGAGCCTGCAATGTCTATGGACACCAGTGGGAAGATCATCTGGGCCAAACACAGTGAAATACAGCAGGCCAACCTGAAAGCCATGGGTGAAGCAGAAATCAAAGATGGAGAGAGACTGCCGCTGGCTGTGAAAGACATGGGCAGCTGTGAGATTTACCCTCAAACCATACAGCATAACCCAAATGGACGGTATGCAAATGTCTCTTCTGGTTCTGGTTAAAGTGATTTGTTTGGAATGAAATTTTTATTGTGAAATATATGTAATAATTTGTTGTGCACCAGGTTTGTTGTCGTTTGCGGCGATGGAGAGTATATCATCTATACTGCAATGGCTCTGAGGAACAAGAGCTTCGGCTCAGCTCAGGAGTTTGTCTGGGCCCACGACTCGTCTGAGTGAGTATTCAAAGTTGAAAAAAAAATGAAAGACATATTTATTTCCTCTGGATAGCAATTAACAACTTTCCAATGAAACTTATGCTTTTTAACAGATATGCCATCAGAGAAAGCAGCAGTATTGTCAAAATCTTCAAAAACTTCAAAGAAAAGAAATCTTTCAAGCCCGACTTTGGAGCAGAAGGTCGGTTACAATTCCTCGTCCAGATTATGATTTTTTTTTTTTGGAAGTAGATTAAACCCATTTTGCTCATATGTGTTGGTTGTTCTGGTTTCAAAGGAATCTATGGGGGGTTCCTGCTTGGGGTGAGGTCTGTAAACGGTCTGGCATTTTATGACTGGGAGAACACGGAGCTAATTCGTCGCATCGAGATCCAACCCAAACATGTAAGCCTCCGACTGTCCTTTGGTTTGCTCGATTTCTCCCTGTTTCAATATTATTTTAAAGATTTTCCATTGTATCATAAAAGTATTTCCACAGGATCTTAGAAATCTTAGTTTAAATTCTTTAATAAATCTAGATGATCTATTTTATCTTAAATTACATTTACCCCCATCTTAGATTTATTTCTAAACTTTGATAAAACAACAAGCTTTAAAAGGTAACTCCATTCCTATGAACACCATGGATGTTGAGGGAGTTAAACTCAAAATTTTCTGACGTTATCGAATAATGTTTCTTATTAGATTCACTCTCAAAGTCCTTCATGATTCATGTAGATCTTAGAACTCATTAAAACTTGCAGTACTCGTTAATAAAACCCTGCCTAAAGTCTGTTAATTCATGAATTTCTGTTACTAATTTCTCTCTAATATTTTCATCTTCTATAATTTCCTCAGATCTTTTGGTCAGACTCTGGTGAGTTGGTCTGCATCGCTACAGAGGAATCATTCTTCATTCTCCGTTACATGGCAGAAAAAGTAGCTGCCTCCCAGGAAAACAATGAGGGAGTAACAGAGGATGGCATTGAGGATGCCTTTGAGGTCAGTGCTTGGGAGAATCACCTTGTATATAACAGCTTGATTTACTGTTTGTTATTATAATAATTGAACTTTATTGATCTCACATTGGAGAAATTTACCTCTTCATTTAACCCATCCCCTGGGGGGAGCAGTGGGCTGCTATCGTGGGGCGCCCGGGGAGCAATCAGGGGTTAAGGGTCTTGCTCAGAGACCAAGTGTGGCAGTCTGTGGGAGTGGGTTTCAAACTCACATCCCCTCTCAATGTAGCCTGCTTCTATACATACTGAAATATTTAAATTCTTTTAATTTAATTAGATATCAAATGGCTAACCTTTGTTTGTATTGATAAATGCATTCAGGTCCTGGGAGAGATCCAGGAGATCGTAAAGACTGGACTTTGGGTTGGAGACTGCTTCATCTACACCAGTTCTGTTAACAGACTCAACTACTATGTGGGAGGCGAGATTGTCACTATTGCACACCTGGACAGGTGGGAATCGGGTTTTACATTTATAATATATGCCGTGTAAATACAAAGATATCTAGCTTAACCATAATGGGAAATCAATCCAAGGAAAACCTAAACTCTGAATACTGCAGACTTCATCACTCCTGCTTACTCTTCCTGCAGAACCATGTACCTTCTGGGTTACATTCCAAAGGATGACCGCCTTTACCTTGGTGACAAGGAGCTCAACATTGTCAGCTATTCACTGTTGGTTTCTGTCCTGGAGTATCAGACTGCTGTGATGAGAAGGGACTTTGGGATGGCAGACAAGGTGCTGCCTACCATCCCCAAAGAGCAAAGGACCAGGGTTGCACATTTCCTGGAGAAACAGGTGAAGCAGGATATTTAGGCCTTATTTTCATTTTTATTGTACGCTGTAGAGAACCACTTATTATTTTTTCTGTAAAGAGATTTAGGATTTCACAAGAAACTATAGTTGTAATCAGGGCTGAGACAATTAATCAGATTAATCGTAATTAATCTGTTATTGAATTAATCGTTAACTGGAGTTTAGAGTAAATGCTTTAATCTGATAGAAAAACTTAGAATAATTATACCAAAATTGTAAGAATATATATTCTTATTTTGCCTTTAAGACTAAGTTTTTTGTCTTTCAATATGGTCTATCCAGAGCTCCTCAAGGGGAAAAGTTTTAGTTTCAGATGGTTTAATTCTGTAAAAAAATATTCTTTAAGGAACCTTTTAATATCCGATGATTAATCGGAAAAATAATTGAGAGAATAATTGAATAGAAAAATAATAGTCATTTGCAGCCCTAGTTGTAAGTAATCAGAACAGACTTAATCAGTCCAGACTGGAAAAAAAAAATCGTTAGATAGCCTTAAAACACTCTTTTTATATATCTGATGCATAACTTTTGTTATGTAGCCATAGAAAAACTTGCCTTTATTTTAGGTGTATTTATACATTAATGTTTTCTTTTCCCCCTGTTTTCTCTATTTTAAAGCCAGCTTTGTCTTTCTATGTGTTAACGTGTTTTGTTTGTGTGTGTTATCTTTAGGGCTTCAAACAGCAGGCGTTGGCCGTATCTACAGACCCAGAGCACAGGTTCGAGTTGGCCTTGCAACTGGGGGAGCTGAAGATTGCCTATCAGCTGGCTGTGGAAGCGGAAGTAGGGCTGTTTCTTCATCTTCTATCAATACTAACTAACTTACATCTATTCCTCTGATTTTAATTGATGTCCTGAAAGCTATTGCTTATAGTTGTCTCTCTAACCTTTGTAGTCGGAGCAGAAATGGAAGCAGTTGGCAGAGCTGGCCATCAGTAAATGCCAATTCAGCTTAGCCCAGGAGTGCCTGCACCATGCTCAGGATTATGGCGGCCTGCTACTGCTTGCAACAGCGTCAGGTAACGCCACCATGGTGGGCAAGCTGGCCGAAGGGGCGGAAAGGGATGGCAAGAACAACGTGGCCTTCATGACATATTTCCTGCAGGGGAAGTAAGTCTTAGATCTGTGAGATGACCAATACCATATAATTTCAATAAATCAGAATTTTCAGTGATGTTTTTTGTTTGTGATTTACTTTTACACACAGGAATACAGCATACCTTTATAAAAGATTGCAGGCTTTTAAAAACTTTTTTCCCTAATTATTATCATCTCTATTTATTCAGCTTGGATCAATGTTTGGAACTCCTAATCAAGACTAACAGACTACCAGAGGCTGCGTTCTTGGCTCGGACATACCTCCCTAGTCAAGTGTCCCGTGTGGTCAAACTATGGAGGGAAAGTTTGGCTAAAGTCAACCAGAAGGTCAGATCAAGCACCAGTGTGTTTAAAAAAAAAAAAATTTGTGCAATTATGGTGACACTTTTAAATATTTGAATATTTTTGTCTCCGCTGCAGGCAGCCGAATCACTTGCCGACCCCACAGAGTACGAGAACCTGTTTCCTGGGCTGAGAGAAGCTTTTGCAGCTGAGCATTACCTGAGAGAGACGTGCATCGGCAGCTCCCGACCTGCTAAAGACTATCCACTCGTTACAGTAAGTCGACTGTCTGGTGAAATATTTACAAAACCTAAATGTTTTTGCTCTGCAGGGGTACTCTTGACTTAAACATTGATCAAATGTATGTAGAACGACTACCGGTACTGTAAAAGTTAAAAGTGTATATTTCCCTATATTTCTAGCCCAATGAGGACCGAAATATTCTGGAGGAGGCACAGGGATATGAGCCCAAAGGCACCTTCGTTCCCTTTTCACCCCAGGTTTGTTAAAAATACTTTTTAAACTTTGTCTGCAAAACTATGATCCTCCAGTTAGGCAGCAGAAATTCAGGAGCTTAGTAAGTCACTTATCTCTGATCATTTATCATGCTTTCTTTGACAGACGAAAGATAGTGATGAAACCAGCTCAGTGCCAGCGGCCTTTGAGACGCCTTCACAGCCTGAACCTGCAGCTCCTGAGGCAGCGGTGAAGAAGGAGGAGGTGGTGGAGGAAAAACTTACATTCTCTCAGTCAGAGAAGGAGAAGGTTGGCCTTTCTTTACTTGGGTTAAAATTGGATAATCACAAAAATGGATGAATTAAATAATGTTATCAGGACATTTAAGTGAAGAGAATTTAATCTGTGTCTACAGACTCTGGATGAGTTGGAAGTTGACCTGGACAACATGGAGCTGGATGACATTGACACCTCAGACGTTAACCTTGATGACGACTTCCTAGATGATTGAAGCTGCCATCCCTTCTTAACGCTCTTCATGAAATATTTAAACAAGAGACCAACATCCCTTTTCTTTTTTCTTTTTTTTGTTACTTGTATGAAAAAATGTTATGTTATCATATTAGTTTTATTAAAAACTGATGACATCAGTAACATTTGAATAAGAACTAAAGCAGAGGGCCGACAGCTACTCCATTTTTGTACACTCTATAAATGAAAATTAGATAAATGATCTAATAGATAATTTCATTTTTGCTTTCCTTCTGTGCTTTTCTGTTATGTCATGTCGATGTTCATTAAGTCCAATAAATTTTGGTTGCTGTATATATTAACATTTGCCTAAAGATTCTTGATTTAAAACGATACAAAAGTGTTATCAGAAATCATTTTTTTTTATTTCTTTAAATTATATTTCCCTGTTTGAACACCTGCAACTGATAAAAATTTGTGATCTATCGAAGCTAAACATTTAGACAATAGTTGGAAATTATTAACCCTTTACTGTTTCCACTCTGCTGATTCAAGCAGGGTGATCCAAAGCTATGCATTGCAACTTGGTGAGAAGTCTCAACCAAACAAGAGTTGGTGCCCATGAGAGAAAACTGCTTTCCTTCCAATCCAAATGCTTTAGGTAGTGTTTCAGATTTTGAAAAATCTGAAAAGTGTAGCGTGCTTTTGTGTTTAGACACTTTAAGTCAGTACTTTTCAAATGTACTTTTAACCTCAATTATAAATCACAGTCTACTAGTTATACAAACTGCTTATATCGAGACCAGCCCCAACCCATCCTCACGACCTTCTACAGAAGCACCATGGAGAGCATTTAGACCAGCTGTCTCACTGTGGGGTATGGAGGCTGCTGGAAGAAGGTGAGAAGAGTGAAGAGAACAGCATAAACGATCATCGGGGCTCCTGACCCCCCCCTCTGGGAAAAGGCTATGCAGCATTCAATGCAGGTTCAACAGATTCTGCCACAGTTTCTTCCTGATCGCCACCAGAAAGCTGAACTGTTCTAAATCATGTCACAAACTCTGCATCACACTGAAAACAAAAAAAAAAAAAAACACATATGCACCACATATATATTATTGGTCTGAAATTCCATAACAGCACGTATTTTGCACCATCATTTTTTCCCCCACACTGTTTACACTTGATCACTGCTGCACTTTATGGAATGGAATTGTCTGAAAGCTGTACTAAACAAAATTTCCTTTTGTATAGACAATGTGAATACAAAATGAAAATAGAGTTGTCTAAGTCTAAAATTAAATTGTTCCCTAACATTTCTATACAATGTAAGCTTAGTTATTTGATTCTTTGGTGACTCTTCAAACAGTGGTTTTAAGTAAAGAATGCAGATGAAAACTATCAGAAAGTCCAGCTGTTCAACTGTCCTGCCAGGACTTTTCTGATTAGCTGGATTCACTATAATTGGTTGCAGATGTTAAACGAAGACTTGATGGCTGCAGAAAGTAACAGCTCTAGTTCAATATGAACTGGATATAATTTATAATAAAAGCTGAAATAGCTTGGAAACTTGTTTCAGTTTTTTTTTAAATGTCTGAACCTATCTGATAAGACCGTGGACCGCCTCAGATATCGCATTGTATTGTCATTGGAGTTATATTTCGGTCGTTCTTCCGAGCCGCAGCTCTCCTCCTTACCTGTAGATGGCGCTCCTCAGAGAAGGCCATTTTTTTTCTTCCCTTTTTTTCCCCCGACTGTTTCGTGTGCAACAAAGTACTGAGCTTGGCATTAACCAAGAGGGGAAAGCCACCCGTTCTAAGAATCTTTATATTTCGGCATATTTTTTTTTCCCTTTTTTTTATATTTCAAATTTACTCCCGACGTATTAATTTTTCAAAACATGAGTCAACGGTGTTTCGGTCTTTGGACATAGTTGGGACGCTTTGTGGAGGGGCAAGTTTTCCCCCTTTATTTTTTAGTATATTGTCGAGCATTTTGTTGAGCTGCTGCAGGATATAACGAGGGGGAAAAACGAACTATAACTAATAGAGGAGCACTGACGAACTATTGAAATACAGGAGAACCGCGGCGCAGCCGCCGACGACAGCGCAACGGGGAGCCGGGGCCCGAGAGGGAGCCTGCCAGGCCCTCGGCTTGATGCACCCAGCCTGCCTTGCTGCCACAGCAACAGTCCGAGATGGGGGAAACCAAAATAATTTACCACCTCGACGAGCAGGAGACTCCATATCTTGTAAAGTTGCCCGTGCCTGCAGACAGAGTCACTCTAGCAGACTTCAAAAACGTCCTGAAGAAACCGAATTACAAATTCTTCTTCAAATCTATGGACGATGACTTCGGGTAACTGCCGGTTATTATCATTGTGTGTATAGTGGAGTTATGATAACGACCCATTTTCCTTCAGTTACTAAAATATGTTGCTGTTAACTGTTCTCCTGCCCCAGCTGTGATCTCACCATTATCCCTTTCTATTGATTGTGGGTGCTCTGTCCTTTCTTTGTTAGCTGCTAGCTTCTACACTCACAGCGGCTCTGCTCTGCGTCCAGACCTCGTTTGTTTACATTGCTTGTCTCGAATTTGTATGACCAAGTTTGGTGTTACACTTCCCACAATCAGACAAATGCTACGCTAACTTCTAAAGTTCCTATACTTCACATTGAAATGGGGATAAATGACACCATGGATGATTCCTTGATTAGATCTCAGTACTGTCAGATTCAGGTCCCAGCCTATGCTAACGGGCTAGTGTCAGAATGAAGGGGGCCAGTTTGAGTCGCTGAGAGCCGCAGGCCCCTTGTTGTCTATTAGCCAGAGGAATGCAGAGTTGAACACAGGAATGTCCTCTTCATCACTCTGGCAGCTTTATGAGCCTGTCCTTTTGTGTTAAAACACAGCAAGGGAAAAGTGGACGCTTTATCCTCCTTCACACAGACTCTGTTCAAGTTCTTAGACTTGTAGACTTAATGAAACATTTTCTTGGCGACAGTTTCCCAATGTTGCCCCTGAATAAACACCCACTAGGGTGGGGCAAGTACTTAAAAGATTTGCAAGTAGGAAATATTCATTCCTTGTAATTATATAATCAGAAGATCACTACTTGTAAACTATACCTATAGAATACCTTGCTTATTAAACTATTTTATAATGCTTTTATGCTTGCATGAAGGTTTCTGTAATTAGGCATATTTTCTCATGTGTATATATCCGGCAGATTTTGGCAAGGTATCTACATGGTCTTTGACTCCAATGTGAATTTATTTATTTTTTTCTCCAATGTTTTTTTTAATCAAATTTTCTCTTTTTTGATACAACAAACTTACCTTTTAACATGTACTTATACACACATATATTCACCATTAAAACCTGCATTTGTCTAGTTCCAAAAATATATAAAGCCCTTAAGATTAAGGCAGAGACATTAAAAAGACAAAAAAAGGGGCAATATATGAATAAAAACTGTAGTCAAGACATCCATTCAAAACTCCCATCAATAAGCTCCAATTTCAGTCCCTACAATCCTCATATATGGCTCCCATAGATTCTCAAAGTCCCGTTGTTTGCCTTTGCCAATGTATGATAGTTTTTCCAGTCCGAGTGAGCTCTCAACTTATTTTCTCCAGAGTCCCATGGAGGGGGCTTCAATGCTCCTCCAGTATAGTGCAACAGATCTTCTGGCTTGAAGAAGTCCATAGTTTATCAATGTAGTTATCCTCTGCGATTGTTTAAATTCTATCGGATATATTCCTAGAACACAGATTTTAACCTCTAATAGGACTTTTACTTTAAGCAATTTAGATAGACGCCTAATAAAATCCTTCCAAAACTTTTGGACTTTAGCACATTCCCACAAACAATGGAAAGAGTTCCTTTTTCAGATAAACATTTAGTGCAAATATCTGGAATATCACTGGACATATGATGAAGCCTAACTGGTGTTATATAGGTTCTCATAAGCTGTTTATATTGCAGAAGTTTAAATCGTGTATTTATCGTTTGTTTTTGTGCTTTCTAATGTGCCTTTATAATATTTTCCTTTTGAATCATCTTGCAGCATCACATACAGCATCGCTATGACAGGATATATGAGATGAAATATCTTTAAAATTCAAGCAAGTCAGAAGATAGTACTTTGCAGAAGGAGAGGGACAATGTTGATGGTGCTGTTTTTTAAGGGGTCAACCTAGTATTTATATAAGTTACAAAGAAAAATAAAATACTGCAATAATATTATTTTTATCCAATGTAAATCATATAAATCAGGAGCAAACCAGAACAATAGCATATTTAAAACAGAAACAGAATATGGTTCATTAAAAGCAATTATAGTTCTGTGATAAGATAAAACATCTTATATAATTGGAGCAATTTTAATCAAGTTGAAAATCAAATCCACTGTTCATCAGATTTATACCTTAGGAAAAAAAGGGGGCTCTTTTTAAAACAATAACAAAGATTAATTACAGTTTATTTACTTTTTTTTTAATCAGGAATTCAGTAAAGTGCTATAACAGTGATTATAACAGCAGTAAAATAATCAATAATATTTGTTTTCGTTTTGTTGCTAACACTTTGTTCTTAAGCACCAACATAAAGAACCTTTGGTTTTGCTGTGGCTATTCCAAAAAAATATCCCTGTTTTTCCGTTCTGCTTTTGTGCTTGCATAACACAAGTGTAGGTTGTAAATTAGCCTGGCTGTCTGCTCTAGTAGCCATTCGTGAGCTGCTAAAGAGGCATGCCAGGCGCAGGTTCGAATCTTGAGTTTTTTAAACATTGTCTATTGTCTTAGCTTTATCTAAAAATGGTTCATGTGAGGAACATGTCTAGGAGAGGAACCTAGAGATCCCTCAGATCAAGTTAGACTCTCCAGCTCCTACAGTACTAGGAAACCCCAAGGTCAGGAGGTATATGTGTACCCCTGCCAAAGGGCTGTGTTTTTTCATGCCAGAGGTTTCTCCCAGTGTGATGCATCTGGAAAAGCTTCAGGGGAGGCCTTCTGATCCAAAACCACCTCAGAATGTCATTAGCCTGAACTCCCCCAGATGATGGAGCTCATCACTTTATTGCTAAGGTTGTCAGACTCATGTGAGCTGATTGTTTCCCGGATATTGGTTTAAAGAGTTTCATAACTCACAGTAGCTTTCCTTTAGTTTACTATCTCACATTTCTTGTTAGCCAGGGTAATACTTAGCCTGCCTGCCATCTTTCAGCCAGATGACCAGCAGTGCACAGTAGCACATGTAAGTGGGACAAATCAAAGTTGTCGGAAAAAGCTTCTGAGATTTTCTTATTAAGGGCTTTTAGCCACTGCAATTGCATGTTTTATTCTCAGTTTTAAAAT